CACAGGCGCCCGCCACAGCGCCCGGCTATTTTTTGGTTGCAGCCGTCATTGTTGTTTGGCGGGTCCGGGCTGGGGATTCGAACCCGCCACCTTAGTTGTATGTGGCTGGCGCCTTAGCCGCTTGAGCCACAGGCGCCGAGCCGAGTTTGATCTTAATGTCAGTCTTTCAGATGCTCTGGTTTCTACAGGACTAATACTTATTCTATTTTTTTAAGTCTTCTTAGATTATAGGCAAAATGCCTACATGCCTCTGCCAAAAAAGCTGTTTGAGAGAGAGCAGTAAAAAGACTTTGTGTAAGCATACTTGTGAGAAACTGAGGCAGAATCCCATATGGCAGGGTTGGTTGCAGGCCTAACTTGACCACAGCTCTGGATGGAATGGCATTTCCAGAGATGTCCAGACTATACTAAGGAATTAAGGTTGACTTTATAAGGCCAATAAAAAAGCCCTTTGGAAAACTGGCCAGATACCCATCAGTAACCTTTCCTGATCTGTGGTAAGTGACGAGGTCACTTACTGATGGGTCCGGGAATGGAAATGTGCTCAGGGACCTGAAGAGAAGAGGAATTTACCCAATGCATACAGGTATCTAATGGCACAGATGAAACCTGGGCTCATGAAAGGCTTTTGAGAAATCCAGCCTGAAAATTCCTTATAAAAGGTTCCAGCAAAACCCCCCTGACTTAAGGCCTACATGGGAGTAGAGGTTTGCACATAAATTACTGTATGCCCAAGAAGTTTCTTTATGCCTTGCTTAAAGATTCGAAGTAATAGCCTCCAAGCAGCAAGGCCAGCAAGGGCAAGTATTCAATCTACCTTGTTCCTCCGTAGTCTCAGGCTTCATCAGATAAGAACAAAGAAAGTAATGACTGACAACATGTTCTCCATTAAGTTATGTTAAACCAGGTTATGTTGAAAGGGCTATGCTTAAAGGTGTATGTTGGGTGGATTATCAGATTATTAGGGAGGAGCTACTTAGAAGGTGGATAGATGTCACAAGATGTTTAAATGGATTAATGAAGTCATTGATGTCCAATGCGCATGTGCAGAGAGAAGTCGTTGATGTCCAATGCACGTGTACAGAGGAATTGTAATGACTATTAATGAGGTCATTGCTGTATAGCATGCATGCACAAGATTCCCTATATAAACCAACTGTAAATAAAGAAAGCTCCCCATTTTGCCTGAGCGAGCAGATGGTCACCTTTATTTAAAACACAATTTCAATAAGCATGCTTATTCTTCATGACATCGCTTTTCCGTGAGACCCTAACAGCAACACCCTTATGGCAACACTAGATACATTTCTATACACTTGATTTCCTCAGTCCTTTCTTTATATAAAACATACACATAACAGGGAGCTTACTGATTTAGATTATGTTCAGGACAGGTAGTTTGAACTAATAAAAAGACTGTATTAGAGTCTATCTTTAAGCCAATAGATAACCTTTTTATAAAAAATCTATTTATTTTGAATTAATATTAAGTAACATACAGTTAGGTTACATTGTTTCTAGCTGTTAGTTAAAATTCGAGTTGTAGTTGAGTCCTTTTTCTAGGAGTGTGCCACATACCCCTACATTATACCTATCAGGTGAGAGCTTTCCAAGTCTCCTCCCCATTTTTAATCTGTGTTTTTCTCCACTGTGGGCCTGTTCATCTACTAGTTTCATATTAGTGTTGAGTACATTGGACACTTGCTTTTCCATTCTTGTGATACTTTACTGAGGAGGGTGTTCTCCAAATCCATCCAGGTAAATAAAAAAGATGTGAAGTCTTGTGCTCACTTTGGTAGCACATATACTAAAATTGAAATCAGAGAAGGTTTGGATGGCCCCTGCTCAAGGATGACATGCAAATTCGTGAAGTGTTCCATATTTTTTTTTTTTAAAGAAGTTTTTTTGGGAGTAAAGTTTTCATTTTTCCTTATGGCTGAATAGTGCTCCATGGTATAATATATAGCACAGATTATTAATCCATTCGTGGGTTAAGGACACTTGGGTTATTTCCACATCTTTGCAATTGTGAATTGAGCTATTATAAACATTTACATACAAATGTCCTTATTATAAAAAGATTATTTTTCTTCTGGGTAGATGCCTAGTAATGGGATTGTAGGATCAAATGAAAGGTCTGCTTTTAGCTCTTTAAAGATTCTCCATACTTCTTTCTGAGAAGACTGTGTTAGTTTGCAATCCCACCAACAGTGTAGGTTTAGGACTTTGTGATGTGAGCTATTCTCATTGGGGTTAGGTGATATCTCAAATCTAACAAATGGCTAATAATCAGAATCTACAAAGAGCTCAAACAAATCAATAATGACAGAGATGCACTTTAACACCTCATTTAACACTGGGCAAGAGACATGAGTAGAACCTTCTTACAAGAAGACAGGCAAATGGCCAACAAACATATGAAAAGTTATTCATTGTCCCTAATCATCAGAGAAATGCAATAGATACCTTTTAAAATTTACTTATAGGAATTTGGCTACTAGAGTGTTAATAACTTATACGATATGTCTTCTTGGAATTTGTTTTAGTGAAAGGATAAAGAACTCTTTTTACATTTTCTTTTTTGTTGTTGTTGAGTTCTGTTCCTTCAGAGAAATTCCCTCTCTTGTCATCTCTGTTCTATTTTGCAAGGAGGCCAAACTTTTTAGGATGTTTGTGTTCAGGCTCCCTTATCAGTGGGCTTCCACCTGGGATTTGCCCGTGGGAATCCTTGGTGAGAGATTGGTGGGCAGGATGAAAGGAGGCGTTTCTACACCTCCCTCTCTAGGTAGCAACTACAGCTCCTCAATGCCTTCAGATCTCATTGGATAGACTACTATGATGTTAGCATTTGCTTGTTTGCCTCAAACCCAGGACAATGGGAATATTTTCTTCTTTATTTGATACCTGAGCCGAGAGGTGAAAGTAGTTTTCCTGTTGCTGTCAATATTTTAGGTTTCTTAGCTCATTTGCCCATACGCAACTAATCCCATGCCCAAATTACATCTGTCTTGGAAAATATGAATTTTTAAAAATAAATAATGTTGGCAAAACTGGGTTTCATTTGAAAAAATAGTTTATATCTTATACCAATTACATGAATAAACTCCCAATAGATCAGAGATCTAAATGTAAAAATAACACATTTAAGGAGTAGAGGAAAACCTGGGTAATTTCTCTCTTCACCTGGGCATAGAGAAATCTTCAAATTATAATCCAAATTCTGGAAATCCAAATTCTGGAAATTATGTAATTGATATCAATTACATAAAAATAATGAAAAATATTTTTACATGGCAAATACCACATGCAAAATCAAAAGACTGGTGACAAATCTGGAGACTTACATCATGGTTAAGGATTAATTTTCTCTACAAAATATTCTTAAAAATCAAAATAAAATTGCCAAATGTTGTAAAATAGACAAAAATCCTAAACAGTTCTAAAAAAGATATAAAAATGGCCCTTAAATACAATTAAAAAATTCAACTTTAATTATAACAAAAAAATCGCTTCTTGGCCTTTTGGCTAAGATCAAGTGTAATTATAACAAAATACAAATTAGAACATTTTGGGGAAACCATTTCTCACCTACCATATTTGTAAAAGGTTTAAAATCCAGATAACACCCTTGCCAAAGCTGTGGCAATTCATATACTTCCATACATTTCTGGTGAGAATGCAAAAAGATACAATTGCTCTGGAAGGGATTTGACAACATTTGATGAAACCATGTATGCATTTATTCTTTGACCCAGAAAGTCCACTTCTAGAACTTTTCCCTGAAGACACACATCCACAAATATGAAACAGCATATATGTAAGGTTATTTATTAAGGAATAATTTATAATAACAGAATATTGCCACAAATCTAAATGATCACTCAAAGGAGAATGGTCGAATTCAGTATGGTATTCCACACAATGGTGTACAAAGTGGCTGAAGACAAAGAATAAGGAAGCTCTCTATGAATTCAGGATATATTGTTTAATGAAATAAAGTAAGTCTCAATGAAGTGCATACAAGAGGCTATCTGTCTTGCAAGAAAGACAGTGACATTGCTTATTCTTACAAAATGAAACAGGAAATATAACCCAAAAGCTAATGGCAATATTTACTTATAGGATGTATAAGGATGGCATAGAGAGTAGAGGGATAAATGTGAGATTTCTCCTGGTAGACTGTTTTTAAATAGTTTTAATTTTGAACCATGTAAACACTTTAAATATTTAAAAATGTGTAAAATATAAAAAGGCAGATACTAAGCTTGAATATAAACAGAAAAAATTATCTAACTGCATGTCAAATTGATGATAATCATAGAAAGAAAAGAATTAAGTCAAGTAACTTTTGAGGATGGGGTTTGACTATATATCCTAAATCAGGCGTCCTCAAACTATAGCCCGCAGGCCACATGCAGCCCACCTAGGATGTTTATCCAGCCCACTGGGTGTTTTTGCTGTTACTGCCTGTCCTGCTTAGCAGCTGACTCATCCTGGGGCCCGTAGTCCAGCCCTCCAACAGTGTGAGGGACAGTGAACTGGCCCCCTGTTTAAAAAGTTTGAGGACCCCTACAATAGAATATATCATAAGGTCAAAAAGAATTACAAAGAAATATTGACATTTTTAAAGCAGATTTGTTCTTGGTAGTGTTATTGGAGGTATACTTCTAAAACTATTTGATGTATTTAATAGGCTAAAACAAATGTGTATAAATATTGATGTTTTGGGGAATCATAGTTTCAACTTTCACAGGTGAAAACAAACTATATAGGGTTGTATTTCAACCATAAGTATTAGAACGAGACAATCACATGTAGATAGATGGATAAATAAATCACAGAGACACACTTCCTAGCTCTGTCCGCTGAAGCAATGCCAATTCAATAGCAACAAGCATAGTTGGATTTCTAAATACCAATCACCACCAAAGTACTCCTTAGAGAAACAGCTACTTCTAGACCCAGAGCAAGGAATTTACGAGCCTGAAAAATCTCATGTCAGAAAGCTAGCAAGTGCCCACAGACTAATGGGTTCATTAAAAAGAAAAATACAAAAGCTGTCTTGGGACAAGTTACACATCAAAAAGAATGATGATAATTGATTATAACATATTGAGTAAAAACTCAATTCACGATTTCCTAGTGATGAAATGAAAGGAAAGGAAGGTTCTTTTTATAGAAGAATGCTAGCTAATGAATGTGGATGTGATAATACAATTAGAAAGTCAGCATTTTTCAACCCCAGTGTAATAATTGATTCAAAGAAAGATGATTGATGCATGCTGAAACTACTGGGTAAAAGATTGTTGGAAATAGCATATTTATGTGATCTCAAAGTATCACTCCAGAGATTATTTGGGGTGAGAGGATAAATGTACTTTTACAGTGGGCTGATTTGATGGCCCACACCTTTAGTAATCAAACCTAATCTAATTATGTGCCTCCTGAAGTAATGCAGTAAGAAATGTAAAACATCATCTAAATAGTGCACTTGCTAAAAAACCGCTTAATCTAGATTTTGAGTCAGTTTTGGTAAAATGTGGTGTTTGAAGAATTTGTTCATTTCATTTGAGTGGTCAAATTTATTGGCATAATGTTCTCATCATTAACAAGGAGCTTTTTCAGCAGTGTACCCTTTTTTATTGATATATGTCTTTATTATTTCTCCTTGATCAGTCTCAGGGAACTTTCATAAATTGTTCAAGTAATTTTGTCTATTTCGTTTGGTTTCATTTGGGGTGAAAGGAAGAATGTACTTTTACAACAGATAGATCTACACATTTAACCAATTTCTATTCATATTTGTTATTTTAAAAATTCTCTTTGGGCTTAACTTGTAGCTAAGATTCTTGATTTGAGACTTTTTTCTACTATAAGTATTCAAAGTTTTAGATTTTCCTTTACACTGTGCTTAGTTGCATGCCAGAATTCTGAGATGTTGTGTTTCTCATATCTTTCAGTTTATCTTCCATTATTTCCTGTAAATTCTTATTTGGCCTATGGATTGTTAGGATGTGTTGCTTAATTTTTAAATATCTGGGGATTTCTAGGTACCTTATTGCTGTTAATTTCTAATTTAACACTAATGTGGTCAGAGGACATCCTCTGTAAGGTTGCAGTCCTTGGGCATTTCTGATACTTGTTTTATAGTCTTCATACGGCCTATCTTGGTGAATGCTGTATGTATATTTGAAAAGAATGTGTGTTCTGTAGTTATTGTGAAACCTGACCCTAATACTGAAGAAAATAACAGACTTATCTAGAATCTGATTTGTTGTGTAGGATAACTGGGCTGGAGTCTTCACAACAGTCAAAGTCATACAAGTCAGACAACACACAAAAACACTCAGATTCACCTGGATTTAAAAAGACAAAAGAGGTAGAACAATCACAAGAAGGATATGAACCTTGAATGGGTATTAGATCAGAAAACAAAAAGTAATAAAAGACATTTGGGGAAAAGTTGAAGAGATAGAAATATGTCAGATAATATTGAATATTTTTATATTCAATAAATAAATAAATATTGGTGTGACAATGATAAATATTCAATAAATATTGGCATGATAATATTGAATATTTTTATATTCAATAAAGAAATAAAAATTGGTATGACAATGTATTTATGTAAGAAATGTCCTTCCTCTTTGGAGATGGATGGTGAAGTATTTAGGGGGGATGTATTTAGGCATGACCTTTACAAGTTATTTTCAAATGGGAGGGAGGCAAAGTGTAAACAATTGGTGAACCTAGATAAAAAGAGTGTGATTATTTATGGGACTATTCTTTAAAAAGGCAGCCTGTTTGTGCCTGGAAATGGGGGTCTGATTTCTGAGCTCACCTGGGCCTAGAGAATGGGGGGTCCCTTTTCATCCCTGAGTGTGCG